TCTTTCTTTTAATGATCTTACCACAGCTTACAGTTCTGTACAACAGCTGGGGTAACTTCTTATGGCCTCAGTAGCTTTCAAGTTTTTCTCTGCTACTGCCTCTAGTGGTGTTGGGTGATAACACAACCAAAAAACAAATATCAGTACAGATACCACAGCAGCAGTAAATTAAAAGCAGAGCAGCTACAAGAAGGGAAATGTAGCAAAAATATGTTGAAATTTGAAAACTATGTAAAAACTAAAAGCTAAAGGTTGCTGAGCTGTAGCTAAACATGGCAGGATGGTAGTTAAAAGTAGCCCAAAAAATACTAGAAGCTAGAAATAGAAAATCTATGACAAAAATAGCTGCACAGTCACTAAAAGCTAAAGGTAGAAGCTAAAACTAGCACAACTAAAGCTGAAATCTGAAATGCTAAAAGTAGCAGCTTTACAAACTGTGAAATGCAGAATAGTATAGCTAGAACCTAAAAATAGTATAAATGGCAGCTTAAAGCAGCTTATACCTGTAGTTGCTTGTGCTGCAGGGGTCGCCACGTTGAGCAAAGTCAAAGGAAATATTTGGCAAGTGTTTAATGTCAGATGCTCTTCCTCCTACAACCTGGGCTCGAACCAGCAGCCCCGATTACAAACCACAGCTCTGACCACAGAGCTGCCCAGGACAGGGCAAGAAGATAAAAAAAATAGAGCAAAGACATTTGCTGAAGCAGATTTCAAATGTGTGTTTTTTAAGGAATTTAAATTATCTCAGTGTATTTTTATGATGAAACTTTGAAATAAAGTTAAATTCTGAAAAATAAAAAAGATATAAGCTAAAACCTCAAACCACATAAATCAAGCTGAAGGTTTTGGTGAATGACTTCAACCACAAAATAAGCAGCAGTGGATTGATTAAAAAAGAAAACAAGAACGTAGAATCAGAACAGTGTAACTGCTGCACAATAAAAAGGGTCGGTTGCTTATTTATTCACAAAGTGAGGAGATAATAAGAACTGTTTAAAGTCGTCTATTCTTTGAGAACTGACTGCTACAGGTGCATGGCGCTCAGAAACACAAACAAAGCAGCTCTACCTTCGTCACAAGGGGCTCCGTGTCCTCCAGGATGGAGATGAAGGGGATCTCCAGGAAAGAAGACAAGAACTCCACCTGGATCAGCTCCTCCCGGGAGCGTGGAAACGCCAGCACGGCTGAGACCCCCCTGATCACCAGGTCCTGGCAGGCGCTATGGAACAGCGACTCCGGGTCCCATCCCGCGGGCGACCGCGCCACCATCTCCAGGGTCAGGTTGTAGGGCAGCAGCGGAGCCGGCTGAGAGGATGTGGTGGTAGTGGTGGTGGTGGTGGTGGTGGTGGAGTCCGTCCCTCCGCTCTGGTGCCGGATGCTTGCCAGGGCGCGGTTGAGCGCGTTTTGTATCCGCGCCGGCTGGCGGGTCGGCAGGAGCGCGCCGAGGCGCACCGTGTGTCCTGTCCGCGCGAGGACGGGGCAGGGCGCCGGGTGAGGCAGGCAGGTCTCCGCGGAGGAGAAGGCGCTCGGCGGGAGAAGAAGCAGGAGGAAGAGGAGGTGAGCTGTCCAGAGTCCAGGAGGAGACACCATGCTGTAGGTCCGACACGCAGCTGAGGAGGAGGACTGGGCTCCGCTCGGCGGGAGATGGCATAGCTCCCTCTTTCTCCCGGCTCCGCCGCTGCTCTCACACTTGATCTTTCCTCCCTGTCCCGCTCCTGTGCTGTCAGAGCGGACTGCTGACGTCTCGCCTCCCACCCTTTCAAAGTTTTTGCGTGAGAAGCAAAAGACGCGCCGGTGGATGAGGAGAGGAGAGGAGGAGAGGAGAGGAGGAGAGGAGAGCGGAGCGCAGCTTCCAGCGGCCGCCCTGCTTCTGTCAGTCTCTGCCTGAGGAAGGCTCACCAGCTGGGAAGTGTGTGTGTGTGTGTGTGTGTGTGTGTGTGTGTGTGTGTGTGTGTGTGTGTGTGTGTGTGTGTG